TTGGACTTTTCTTTCTGTAGTTGGCACAGAAATGCCTGCACCAAGTGCCATCTCCCTGTTTCAGCTGTGCGGTTCTTGGTCTGATTGGAATGCATCAATACAAAAATAAATCACCGTCAACAACACGCTGTTATGTAAAGATCTCAAAGAGCTGCATGAAGAATGGATAAATTGTGTCACGCCCATAAGATAAATGAGGACAGCAAGACAAAAGGGGCCGGCCTGGTTTTCCGCACTGGTATCAATAGCGGAATTTCCATTAGGATGAGCATTGTATCTAAACAGCCACATCCTAGGACTTGATGATCCAGCACATGTCTGTAAAACAGGATGTAATAACAGCTGTACCAGGGTCATGTAACAAAACACGAATGTGTGACCTCTTGCCTATAAGTGGCTGCAAATGTTTAAAACAAAACAATCAATGTTCTAATCCTTAAACATCTGATACAAGTCCTATTGAAAACATTTATCCCAAAGCATCCCCTTATTAAATACTTTGGCAACTGTAGCTTGTGGACAAAACAATTACTTTAAAAACTTTATTCTAGACCAGGGGTGGCCAAACTGTGGCTCAGGAACCACATGTGGCTCTTTCACACATGTTGTGCGGCTCCCGGCAGGGCGGCTGGAGAAGTGTTCCCCTCCCTGGGTAGGCTTGAGGTGGGGGGGAGCAGAGAAAGAAAGCAACTTTAAATACGTTCTCAAAGCCCCCACCCCCCTGGCCAGCTTGGAGAAAGCATTTGCCTCTTTAAATATCATTATCAATATCTGTTTTTACCCCTTTTGTTTTTATTTCTGGCAGTCTTATTTAATGTTAATAAAGCAAATTTGCATATTTTCCAATAAAAGTGTGTGTAATATGTGTTCATGTCTTGTGGCTCTCAGACATCTGATGTTACTTCTAGGTGGCTCTTACGTTAAGCAAGTTTGGCCACCCCACCCCCGCGTGCGCGTCACCCAGAAGTGACATCGCACGCTGGGGGCGGGGCCACGCGATTTGAGGGGAAAACAGAGTTTTCCCCTCAAATGGCAGCCATTTGAGGGGAAAACTCTGTTTTCCCCTCAAATCGCGTGGCCCCGCCCCCAGCGTGCGACGTCACATCCGGGTGACGTGCGCGCGCACTCACCCGGGATCATCCGGGAGCCCCCCGCTCCCGGACGATCCAGATTTGGCAACCCTAGTTCTAGACTGTGGCATTAAACTAGACATTACATGGGAAATGCATGTATCAGTCTCCCACCTATTTTAAAAAATCCAAATCAGATTCAAAGGCCTCCATCAGGAGTGGCGAGAGAAGTGGCTTAACTCTAGGTGTTGTCCACATAAAACTCCCACTTCCAGCTGCTTTCCCAACCATGGGGGGTGGGGAAGAAGCATGGAAGAAAATTTCACCGGCATAAATGAGAATTCATCATAAATGAGGTCAGGCTTGTGGTACAAGTCCTTGATATGAAACCAAAACAAGTGGAAGGACGTCAGCTGAAGGGGGTTGTAAAATGCAGGCACTGCCTGATTCATGCTGATGAGTACTGTACAGGTCCTTCCTAGAAGGGTAAATGAATAGTGCTAGATCGACAACAGTATTTTCAGCAGACATCCCTAGTCACGTTAAGATCCATGTGTGTTTAGACTGACTTCTGGAGTAGCCAGTTCTCATCATAGCCTAGGTTCGTTATAAAATTGAAGCAGGAGAACAATATTTTAATACAGCTACTTATTCCAAGATTACTAGTTGGCATAGATTTTTGTCAATGCATGCTCTATAAATTACAGCCTACAGTATTGGTCTCCAGTCTCCATACAAATGCATAGCAAACAATGCTATTAATTTTTTTCACCTCACAAAGCTCTTATCATTTGGAAAGGCTGCCTTCTATTGAACACATTCTGCAGGAGCAGGCTGGGCGTTACAACCGTTCTTGAGCACGCTAAGCCCAGTGGGCCAGGGGGTGGGGTGGATGAGACTGCACCTGCTGCCATCATTGCCATAGCACGGTCCAAGCTGCATAGACCCTGCGACGCCAGCAGCACCACAGGGCCACTTGGCTCAGCTTTCTCCTGGCCCCTATTAGTCCTCTATGGGAATGGTCCCTAGGGAACTTTTCCTAGTAAATTAAAGGGCCAGTCCACCCCAGTCGATCTTCATCAAGTTGCAAAATGTTTCCAGGTTTAAAGGATAACATATCCATCAAGTTCCATGTCACACTGAAGATGAAGGTGCATGATATTTTACCTGATACAAATTACAGCTATATATAATTATGCTAAAACATCATGATCTGGTCATGCACATTTCTGTACATGGAAAGCATTGTTGCCTCACAGAATGCCGCTTTACATCTCACACAAGAATGTTATGCAAGAAAAATCCAACTACATCCAAAGGTGTGCTTCCACACACAATAAAAATGATGAGAATGGCTTTAGAATCTTCCCTTTGTCCCCAGTGTGAGTACAAACGTCCGTAGAACAGCGCTAGGAGATAACTTGTACAACTGATGGTTCTTGGGATATTTATTTATTCGGTTTTTATCCTGTTCTTCCTACAAGGAGCCCAGGCAGACTGGTCCCTTTGCCATTTTATTATCACAACAGCCCTATAAGATTGCTTATACTCAGAGGCAGAGATTATGGCAGCACAGCTGGGTTATGTCAGCATGGAAATCAGTCCCGACCGTTAACAATAAAAACTATACTTTCTTTTGATTTTAGGTTTGAGGTTTAGCAGAAATATCATAGGTCCAAATATGTATCTCTTTACAGTAATGCGCTACAAGCCATGGGAGGTTTTCTAAAGTTAGAACATGCCTTTCTGCTTGTTTCCAAGCTTTGGATAACAAAGGCCTTTGGCTGAAACACTGTACATTGTGGCCAATTCTTTTTTTAATCATAATCAGGTATGGATACTTGAGTACAAAATACATGCACAAGTCAAATGTAAAGGCAGCACAGTTGTAAAATTTGGCTTAGAGGAGAGAACAGGGAAAGGATCAGTTTGTTCCTTACTAGTATGTAAGGCACATAGCAACCTTTTCACTCATCATTACTGCATTTCATGGGAGTAACTTAATGAATTTTGCAACGGCAATCAGCCCACTTGGTTTAATTTCATTCGCATTCATAATAATGGCATCATTATTCAGTAAACAGGGTAGACTGTTACAACAGACAGAAGTAAAGAAACATGATCCAGAAGAAACTACAAGAAATTAACTGTAAACATTCTATGTATTTTGAGTTTAACTCTGACAGAGATCTTTCTTTCATATCAAAGATTGATAGTGGCAACCCAAGAACACTTTCAGCACTTAACAATACTGAATCAGACCATTGGTCCATCAAAGTTAGTACTGTCTATTCAGACTGGCAGCGACACTCCAGAATCCTGGGACTAAGCCCTACTGAATAGGCTATGAGTCATGCTGGGGTTCCCTTAACCCAACTCATGGTTAAACAGAATGTCTAGGCTTCATGTTTTCCCTCTCTGATATTTTTGTATCCTGTTACAAGAGAGGGAGGTAGATGTTTGGAATGTTCTCTTGGAACCAAAAGAAAGTTCCCCTGGGAAAAATTGCTCAGCTCAAACTTCATGATTACTTACATTCAAAATAAACACCATATCAATACCTGCTTGCCTGTGGCATCCTTATCCATGCCATTTCCAAGGCCAGGGTCAAACATCTACAGTTACTGGGTGTTCTTTACATTTCCATACACATTTGGAAGATCAGTCAGACATTTTCTCTGTAGTGTTCAAAGCATATGAGGCCATTCAATTTGCTTTGAATCACCTTGTAATAGTAAAGTAGGTGATCATGAAAAAACATTCATGGTGATCATGAAAAAAAAATTATCACAGGGCCATCCGCAGATGAGCTAGAAATTTCTACATGCTTGGCAAAGTCCCTAGGTAAAAAGATATGACTTTGCAAATTGATCAAAAGGGAAAAAACAGAATAGCCGCATGAGCCTGAATGTGCAGTGTGAGCATGAAAATAGTGAGAGGTGGTTAAAGGGGGATAGGAGAAAAACTAGCCTGCACAAAAAAATCCCAAGAGTTTATAAAATTCTAGAAACAGAGATTTTAGGGAAGGTTGTTTTTTTCCAAAATGCCCCCCCCCCATGATTCCTCATTGGCCTCCAACCTATAAATAAGTTATCTTGGTTCTTTCCTGCATCACACACAGCATCCAATTGGGTGCTGTTTCTTATCTGTCTACAAATACAAAGGTCAAATACAAAAGCTTTCTACAAAGGTCTCAAGGCCTTGGAAATGGCTATATTTTTAGAGCTTAAATACGGAGAAGAGGATAAGAGAAGGTGAGAATGTCTACACACCATAGGGAGAAGAGAAGGTGAGAATGTCTACACACCATCCCCCAAGTCCCTGGTAATGGCACTGGATGTGGGTTGTACATGCATACTTCTTTCTACCTGTTGGTACTGTCTCCAAGAGGCAGAGGTCAGTGTACAGGCACTGGGACATTGGGGTTAGAGCTGGCTGTGCATATAAGGAGCCTCAAAATCCTGCTTGCCCTGTTCACTGCCTGTAAGAAAACCCCAACACATGTCCAGTACCAGGATAAATATGGGGTTTAAATCACACATTCAGCTGTACCTATGCTGCATATAACCTAAACATTACTCAATGCACATATAAATTAAAAATCAAAGGAACATTGTGCACAAACTGTACATTTGGTCACTATAACTTGTCAACAGGACAACCAGGGTAGGAAGGAAGGGAGGTTCACCCAACCCCTAATCCCTGTTGAAATGATAGATTTAGGGACAAATGCAAAGATTGAAGCAGTTGCTGATAAAATAGACTGGGAACTGCAGAAGGCAACAGCAAAGGGCTCAGGGGAAATAAAGGGAGACAAAGAATTTTTAAAAATCCTTGGCTTCTGCCTGCCTTCCCCATAGTTCACTTCCCACCTCCCCAAATTTAGCTGAGGTGCACACAATTATTTGCCCAAATAAAACTGAAACTAACCTGAGCGATCAAAGGTGTCATCAAATGCAATCCGGCAAGTTTTTCCAGTGTTTGTTATGGTCTTAGATGCCCCTGGATCATAACTTGTAAACCAAGGTAGAAGAACGGGGTCTTGGAAGACATCTTTGGTAAGGATTGCAACTGGCGACTGATTATTTCCTTTGGCCAATGGGTAAGTTTCATGCCAACGATCAGGCCCTGATCAAAAGAGGCAAGGAAATGTCATGTTCTAAGTAGATGATAGAAGGGAAATACCACATAGCAGTTTTCCTACTTGTTTAGTTGTAAAATGCTCAGAGTTGTATTTGCAGTTTAATACTGTACTCTGCTAGCTACCATTCCTTATTAGACAAGAATAGTTAATTCCAGCCAGGCCTGCACATTTTTATTTCATTGTCATCATATAAATGTAACATGTAAAGTTATTGTTCTACACTACCAAATATTTCATGACTGGCAACGATCTACAGAGGATGAAGGTCTGATAGGTACAACGTGCCCAGCATCTCTGCGATGAATCTTCATTCATTTAAGGGAACTTGTGAAAACTGTGTGGCAGTCCTACAGAAATGGATCAAACTTACACAGCTGCAATTAGCAGCTGGTGGAACTGTGCCCAGCTGTTTGCCACTGAATCAATTATTTCATGAACATGCAGAAAGAAAGGATAGGTTAAGAAACGCTATGATTTATTTCACTTATTTGCAGAAAATGAATAAAATATATAGCACAGTGTAATGACAGAGAGTACGATCCAGTCAAAGTATTATCCCTTTTATTCCCATTGATTCCAAAGTAAAATATTTAAACATTTGCTCACCTGGCCTATGGAAATAAATGGATTTCAATAGTGTATAAATGTAGATGGATCATGCCCCAAACATTTCACAAAGACCCAGTGTTTATTAGCAGAGTTTTGGGAAGAAGAAAAAAAAAGAATCTACTAGACAAAAGTCAAGAATCCTTTCCGAGTAAGTACACCTGCAATTACAAAGTTTTTCAGGTGCTTAATTCAATATTTTGTTTTAGGGCATCTCATAACTTTTTTTAAAAATGCCTTGCAAAATCAACCAAACTGTTAACTAGCAGTTAACCAAAAATGACAAAATAAAGAGAAAGATAACTATGTCTGGGCAACCTCTCCCTTCCTACGCATCCATGTAAATAACCAACCAACTGAGTTAGTCTCTAGCACTGGTGTGGCTGTAGCACAGAAACAAGAACATGAGAAGTGTCCTCCAAGGTCATACTCAAGTCCCATCCACCAGACATGCTGAAACCAGCAAGATACTTCTGGGAAGACCATAAACAGCGGGCTGTTACCTCCTGGCCACTGGAATTCACTGGCGTACTCCTTCTGATCCTGGAGGTGCTTTGGCTTTGACAGCTAAGCCCCCTTCAGATCCTTCTAAACTAGTCCCCACCACCACATCTCGCTGCAGTGATTATAACAATCACTTTCTAAAATGAGAATGACCAGATTTGCTTGCTTGCTTACTTACAACATTTATTCCCTACTTTTCTCCATCAAAGGACCCAAAGTGATTTACAGTGATACAAAAATATAATCAAAATTCAACATTTGAAAGTGCAATTTAAATAACACCAAAAACAAACAAGCAAACAGACACACACAAAAACCCTGAGCATCTCTTGGATTCAGCCTTGGATCCAACAGGCCAGCTTGTTCAAAGCCACAGGGTATGACCAAGAGCTTTTGGCTATTGCCTTTCAGGTTGTTTCTAGGGTCTCAAGCCTATACCCAAGTTCAGACCTCATACCTAAAGACAGGAGGAACACAGACTGGATGTTACACCTAGCAGCAACATTCCTTCCTAAAGCCACTTGGTTGACTGGTGGTGGAAAGTGCCATCAAGTTAAGGCAAGAGAGATTCAGAGGTGGTTGCCATTGCCTGCCTCAACGTCACGACCCTGGTATTCCTTGGAGGTCTCCCATCCAAATACTAGCCAGGGCCAACCCTGCTTAGCTTCCAAGATCTGACGAGATCAAGCTAGCCTGGGCTATCCAGGTCAGGGCTACCTGGTTGACTGGCTACCATTAAATGGCTAAGGCATCCTTTAGTTTTTGGAATAGAGTAGTGTGACAGGAGCACTAAAGAACTCAAAATGTTCTGAGGCTCAGAGTAATTCTTTGTCTGAAACTGAATGGAATTCTGAACTTGAGACAATGAGAGATTATTGTGTCCTTGCTGCTTGGTGGCCGCACTGTTCGCCACCTTGAGTCCAAAGAGATAGATAGGTTTCAAATAAAGAAGTAAATAACACAGCTGTAAACATATGAAAATATGTGTACATAAAGAGATAAACAAGAAGGTTCCTGCTACGCTATGTACAAAAAATATTAGCCAGAACAGGCAAAGATAGACTATCAGGAAAAGGTTAGATCTGCTAAGTTTCACAAACTTATGCCACGGCAAATAAATTAGTTTTTATGGTACTCCACAACTTTTTGTGGTTGCCCTGGCAGTCGAAATGCCTAAAGTTTCCCTAGAAACATATGCACAATTTTGCTAAACAAAAAAGTTAGTCTACATAACATGCAACTTGGTCTGCAAAACAATGTGATTCTGTTTATTTAGTTGTCTTTGCAAGGTATCATGCAAAATCAAATAAATACATTTTTAAAAGTCTCCAGGAACACAGGATATAGCCTCGTTAAGACACTGAACTACAGGCTGTGGAAGGTCGGTAGTTCAGCAGTTCGAGACCCGAGTGTGCCGCATGACGGAGTGAGCTCCCGTCTCTAGTTCCAGCTCCTGCCAACCTAGCAATTCGAAAGCAAGAAATTGCAAGTAGATAAATAGGTACCACTTCGGTGGGAAGGTAACAGCGTTCTGTGTGCCTTTGGTGTTTAGTCATGCCGGCCACATGACCACGGAAATGTCTTTGGACAGCGCTGGCTCTTCGGCTTTGAAACGGAGATGAGCACCGCAACCCTAGAGTCGGATTCGACTGGCTTTCGAGCAAGGGAACCTTTACCTTTACTAGTATTCCATTGCTGGTGCATTTTATTTGGCTGGTTTTTGTTTTTTTTCTCCTTACGTATTTTGGACTGTTATATAAGTTTAATTTTTTTAAAAAAATATTATAATTGAAAAAAAGTTTGTTATTTTATGATAGTTGAACGTGGCTTTGAAAAATATATCCATATTGTAAATAAGCAGATTCTGCACAGCGTGCGCACTGGCCAGAGATGCTCTCTCCTCCTGTTATGAAAACCATGCCTCCTCCAAGTGCTGCGGACAGAAACTTAGGAATCTTTGCGCTTCCCAGCCTCCCTTTCGTACCCCTTCCTATGCTATACTTCCTATACTGGGGGTCGATGGGACTTCGCGAACTCCCCGCTCACCGTTTTCCTTGGAATAGCCCCACGGATGCTGGGTCATGGTCTCGGTCGGAACCCTTTGCGCTTCGGTGTCTGACGCGGGATTCTGCACCGGGGTAGCCGCGGTCTTCGGCCGCCAGGGCCATTTATAGGGCTCGGCCAACGCCGACCCTCAGCGTCTGGCAAAGGCGAAGGCATGCGGAGGGGCGGCAGAGGCGACGGCCGCGCAGCCAGTGGGCGGAGGGAGGAGCCACCGGCAGGTTCCCCCGAAGTTCGCCCTGGAGGTTTCCCTGGCAGCAGAGCCGCCGTCCGCCAGGCTGCCGCCCCGGCTGGAGTTCAAACGGACCATTCTCCGGCGCTCGGAGGCTCTGAGAGGCAAATAATGGGATGCACGCCCGGGTCGCATCTTGTCTGACAAGCTTGCAAAAGGGGAGATCGCCAGAGGCTCTCTGAACGGCGTATTGTGGTTCGTTTCTCCAGTTCAGAAATCGCTAGAACGTGGACATTGTAAGGGAATTACCTCTCTCTCTCCCTCTTTCCTTCCGAAGCAGGAGTTTAAAACTACATCTACATTCTACTCAAAGTAGATTTTACATTCAAGTCACTTGTGTGAGATGTGATGACGACGACGACGACAATGAAGGGAGAGACATCATACCTGTTCTTTATAATGTGATCTGAAACTTATGGTTTTCTCAGTCTTGTCCAGATTTATCTGAAATGATACCACCATGAATCTCTACACACCCAATGTGTTTGCTTTGAATGTTTCCAGAGAGATGAACAGAACAGATTACATTATACAACCTAAGAGACTGCGACAATGTCAGTATGAATACACTTATTCATTTACATCATTTATACTCTTTCTCGCCTATAAGGACTCAAAGTGGACTTCATTGTCTCCTCTCCTCAGGCCCATAGCCATGGTGGGGCTCTTGGGGACTCCGTCTTCTTTCTCAAAAGCATAGTCCCACAAGAATTTCTCCAGTAAATGCTTTTCCCCAATAATTTGTATACGTTTCTTTTAAAGGCATGTTGTCGTGGATACTGGCTCTGCTGAGGTTGACTACTCCTCAGATGAGGAAGAGGCAGGGAGCAACCCAACCTCCTCTGGAGTCAGCCCAGAAGAGGAACCCTTAACAGCACCAGAGGGAGAAGAGGCCCCAGCAGCTGCACAGGAGGTGCATCCAGAGGGAGGGACTGATCCAGAGGCTGGCCCAGCACCCCCTGGTGGAGACAAACCACGAGGCCAGAATCCCCAGACGCAGGGCACGCGGGAGACTGAATATGCAAGAGCGAAGGAAGAGTGCTAGCCTGCAGCTCTTGCAAAAGCAACATGAGGAGCTCTGAATCTTGGCAGATTGACTCCCAGGGAAGGGAGGACTTGTTCATAAGCACCCCAAGCACCTGCCTCAGCATGGATCCGCTCCTGGCTTGTAGCAACCACTCCTTTCTCCTGCAGCCTTGGTCTGATTTCCCGGCTCTCTGACCCTTGGCTGGGAGGACTTGTTCATAAACACCCCACGCACCTGCCTCAACGTGGTAGCAACCATGCAAGCTCAGATCCACTCCTGGCTTTTAGCAACTGCTCTTTGCTCCTACAGCCGTGGTCTGATTTCCCGGCTCTTTGACCCTTGGCTCTGTTATTTGACTTGATTCCAGACTACGTCTCCAGTTTCCAGTGTGTGGTAACCATAGTAACCAGCCGAGCCAGTACACATGTGCTCCTTTAAGCAGAGTCGGGTGCTGTAGTTGGACTAATCCCCACACTGAGCAAGGGGGTTGGAGTAGGTGACCTCTAGGACCCCTTCTAGCTCTGTATCAAGAAACTGGAGTCCTTTAAGAGAGTTTTTCTGCCTAAGTGTTAGCTTTCTTGACTAGAGAAGTCATCACCCCCACCTGCCGGCTTGTTATCCGAATTGTTGCTTAGGCTGGCAGAAGTGATTAACTTACATCCCAGAACTGCCATCTAAAGTGGTTGACAGCTTGCAATCTAGAGATCTATCCTGGTAACAGCTTTCTGTCAGCTACATGGCTTTTCTTTCTGCACTGAGAACTTCAGCCCCACCAGAAAAAAAATTGCCCCACAAGGCACAAAATCCTGGCTACAGGCCTGCCCCTCCTCCATTTCATCCTCGCCACAACAGCACTGTGAGGTAGGTTAGATGAAGAGTGTGGGAACTAGCCTGAGGTCACCCAAGCCAGCTTCCATGGCAGCGTGAGGATTCAAACCTGGTATCCCAGGTATCCAGCGCTCTAACCAGCTCTATCACACTGGCTCTCATACTACTTTTTTAAAAAATACAGTTGCTGTCAAAGATCTTACATTTACCAAATTTAAAAAATGACATCTTTCTTACATTACATCATCTTTAAAATGTAATCCACACAAAGACATGAGGCTGCCTTCTACTGAGCCTGACCACTTGTCTAGCAAGGTGAATATTGCCTCCATTGAGCAGCAGCAGGTCTCCAGGCTCTTGGGTAATAATTATCGTATGGCATTGTGTGTAGAATAGCCAGGAGATCCTTAGATTGTCTAGCAGCTACAAGTTCTAGCTCTTTTAGTGTTATGCACCACCAGGTAGCGAGCTAGACTTGTTTTTAACACGAGAGACATTTCAGAGGTGGTTTGCCAATACCATTGCCTGCCTCTGCCTCACGGCCCTGTTATTCCTTGGAGGTTGGCCTTCCAAATAATAGCCAAGACCGACTCTGCTTAGCTTCTGAGAGCTGATGAGATTGGACTAGCCTGGGCTATTGCAGGCTACTTGGTTGATGAGTAAAGGTCTTTTACATCACCTGCTACTTGAGTCTTTCACTGGAGATGTCAGCGATTCTGTGCAAACAGAATCTGAGCCACAGTAGCTCCTTCCCATATCCGAGACACATATACATTTCTGCCACCATTCTAGCAAATCTGTCCACACTATGGATTACAAGCATCCCTACCCAACAGACTTTTAAACTGAAAGTTTACAGACAAATTGCCCATCCTTTAAAAAAAAGTGGCACCGTGTTTGAGATGACAAACATACTAAAGAGTGTTTGGCGACACTGAATGGTAACCATTTATTTCAGAATTTTCTTAGTCAAAAAGCTATTTCCACCATTAGCTAGGGATGACACTGTTGGGACACTGAACATTACTGAAAAAAGAAACTGAATCAAATTTCAATGTGCTTCCTCAGTGGAAGGGAGCAAAGTCTAGGACCGTTTGTTGTTGTTGTTTTGTCATCAAGTCACAGCTGACTTAAGGTGACCCTGTGGGTTTTCAAGGCAAGAAAGGTTCAGAGGTGGCTTGCCATTGCCTGCTGCTGCGTCCCAGTCCTTGGAAGTCACCCATTCAAATACTACCCAGGGCTTAGCTTCTGAGATTTCACAACAGCAGACTAGACTGGGGTATCCAAATCAAGGCATAAACTCTGTGCACAGAAGAAATTCTTAAACATTAGAGACAAACAGGCATTGCTATGTGATTAGGAGTGCCTGGTAAAGCAGAGAAAGTCTGGCACCTGACCACTGGAAAAGCCTATCCAGGAGCTTGTGTTGGCTGTACTTTTTGTCTCTTGATCTCCTCTTTTAATGGGGAGAGTCTGTGACCAGATGGAGTGGGTTCCCTGAATAGCCTGTTAAACAGCTGAACACTATGATGATCCTGCCACCTTCCTGTGCTTTATTAATTCATACAGCATTTAAATTTTCATTCCAGACAATTTCTTAACTGGTTACACCCTTCTAGGCCATTTGTGGTGGACCCTACCCAATCCTACCACTCCACTGAGCAAAATTTATTTATTTATTCATTTATTACAGTATTTACATCCCACCTTTCCTTTCATCTCAAGCCGAACATCTTCCCCTACTCTAAGGAGCCTTCCTCCAGTTTAAATGGCTCTTCGATTGAATGAAGACCTGCCTAAGTTGGTAGAAGGCTACTTAGAGGATGGGAGGATCAATTCCGTTAACTTCAATAATGGGCGTAATCCTTTTTAGGATTGCAGTATGGAAAGAGTTGTCTTGTTAGTTGGGGTGCCATATTTTCAGTTTAAAAAGATGCTATCTTTTCTGGGGTCTTGTAGCCATTTTTGTCACACATTAATTTTCTCATATTGGTAGGACAATTGGTAGGTAGCATATAAATATGTTTGACAAATAAATAAAACAGATTAGCTGAAAGGAGGGAAGAGAAAACGAAACTTCATTTTAGCACCTTTCTTGTACGTGAGCATTTCCATTGATTCCCAGATTACAGTAACTATCCATCATAGCCCACAATTTTTTTATTATTTGAGATGGTTAGACAGTGTCATAGATGCAACGAACATGAAACTGAGCAAACTTCAAAGGACGGCGGAAGACAGGAGGGCCTGGTGGGAGCTGGTCCATGGGGTCGCGAAGAGTCGGACTCGACTGTGCGACTGAACAACAACAAAAAAAGATATTTATATTTCACTTTTCTATGTAAATATATTCAAGGCAACACATACTATAAACAAGGCAGCATATCCCATAAACAGCAGCAAACAAAACATCAAAATTAATAGGTACAGATTAAAACAGGATAAAGTCTTCAGTATCATAAAAACAGCATTAAAGGAACCTCTAAAACACAACCTAGAACAATAATAACAAAATGATATGACTAAAATTAGTTGCAGGGGCTCTAAAAGGCTTGAGGGAATAAAATGTCTCCATCTGACACCTTAAAGGGGGGGGCATGCAAGCTATCCAGAGTCTAGGTGCCACAACAAAAGGCCCTTCCTTGGATGCTTGCCCTCCGAACTTCAGAATAGATAGTGACATAAGGCCTGCTGAGCAGGACCTGAACTGGCAAGCAGGTTCATATGGGATAAGCCAATGCTTCAGTTACCCTGATCCTAGATAATGAAGAGTTTTATAGGTCAAAACCAGCAGCTCAAATTGTGTCCAGAAGCAACCAGCAGCCAGTGAAGAGCTTCTAGGAAAGAGCAGAAGTCCAGTGACAACTTAGAGACTAACAAAATTTGTTTCAGGGTATGAGCTTTTGGAGGGGCTGCGGTGGCTCAGAGGTTAAGAAGCTGAGTTGCAGACTGGAAGGTCTGTAGCTCGGCAGTTCGAGACCCGAGTGCCGCGTGATGGAGTGAGCTCCCGTCTCTGGCCCCAGCTCCTGCCAACCTAGCAGTTCAAAAGCAAGAAATTGCAAGT